CCAAACCTTCCCTTCCCTTCCCAAACCTTCCCTTCCCAAACCTTCCCTTCCCAAACCTTCCCAAACCTTACCTTCCCTTCCCAAACCTTCCCTTGCCAAACCTTCCCTTCCCAAACCTTCCCTTCCCTTCCCAAACCTTCCCTTCCCAAACCTTCCCTTCCCTCCCCTCCCCTCCCCTCTCCAAGCCCTTCCCAAATCCCGATTCCCTCACCCTCGGGAACAGGGCTGCCAGCGAGCAGAGGGTCAGCAGGAGCAGCAGCGCCTCCCCCACGGCGAAGCTCACGTAGTTGGCCACCAACCTGCGCAGCCCCCCCGGAACGAAACCGCAACAAAACACCAACGAACCCCCCCAAAAAAACCCCACAGTCCCCCCTTTCCCTTCCCCATCCCCGCCGTGTCCCCGCCCCGTGGGTGTGGGCTCACCAGGGGTCTCGCAGGGCGTGGAGGAGGGCAGTGAAGAGCAGGACGAGGCAGGAGCAGCCCAGGGCGGCCCCGCTCTGCTTCTCCCGCTCCAGGGCGTAGCGGGACTCCATGGCCGCGTCCCGGAACCGCAGCGACAGCGGGAACGTGCTGCGACCCTTCAGCCTGGGGGGACATTGTGGGGTCACAACAGTGACACTGGGAACGTGCTGCGACCCTTCAGCCTGTGGGGACACCATCATTACAGTGGGGTCACAACAGTGACACTGGGAACGTGCTGCGACCCTTCAGCCTGGGGGGACATTGTGGGGTCACAACAGTGACACTGGGAACGTGCTGCGACCCTTCAGCCTGTGGGGACACCATCATTACAGTGGGGTCACAACAGCGACAGCGGGAACGTGCTGCGACCCTTCAGCCTGGGGGGACAGAACAGTGACACTGGGAACGTGCTGCGACCCTTCAGCCTGTGGGGACACTGTGGGGTCAGAACAGTGACACTGGGAACGTGCTGCGACCCTTCAGCCTGTGGGGACATTGTGGGGTCACAACAGCGACAGCGGGAACGTGCTGCGACCCTTCAACCTGCGGGGACAGAACAGTGACAGTGGGGTCACAACAGTGACACTGGGAATGTGCTGCGACCCTTCAACCTGCGGGGACAGAACAGTGACACTGGGAACGTGCTGCGACCCTTCAGCCTGCGGGGACAAAACAGTGACACTAGGGACATGCTGCAACCCTTCAGCCTGGGGGGACAGAACAGTGACACTGGGGATGTGCTGCGACCCTTCAGCCTGGGGGGACATTGTGGGGTCACAACAGCGACACTGGGAACGTGCTGCGACCCTTCAGCCTGCGGGGACATTGTGGGGTCACAACAGTGACACTGGGAACGTGCTGCGACCCTTCAGCCTGTGGGGACACTGTGGGGTCACACAGGGTGGCACTGGGGACAGAGAGGGGACACTGGGATGTTCTAGGGCAGTGTCCCCACTGTCCCCACTGTCCCTGTGGGGTGTGGGGTGTTGTAGGGCAGTGTCCCCACTGTCCCTGCAGTGTCCCCGGTTCCAGGAGCTCTGCTGAGCTTTTTCCCAGCCATTTTCTCCGTTCCATCCCCTCCAGATGCCCGTTCCCGGTGGTGCTGTAGGTGGGATTTGCCACCCCCTGACACCTCCTCCTGCTGCCCCCCACCCCTTCCCCTTTCTGGTCTCCCCACTCCCATTCCCTTATCCCAATTTCCCAGTCCCCACTCACGCCTGGAAGGACTCCTGGTTTTCCCACTCCCATATCCCAGTTTTCCTGGTCCCCACTCATGCCTGGAAGGACTCCTGGTTTCCCCACTCCCATATCCCGGTTTCCACATTCCCGTAGCCTGGTTCCCCCATTCCCATATCCTGATTTTTCCGGTCCCCACTCATGCCTGGAAGGACTCCCGGTTTCCCCATTCCCATATCCTGTTTTTCCCATTCCCATATCCCGGTTTCCCCATTCCCATATCCCGTTTTTCCCATTCCCGTATCCTGGTTTTCTCATTCCCATATCCCATTTTCCCAGTCCCCACTCACACCTGGAAGGACTCTCTGTTTCCCCATTCCCATATCCCGGTTTCCCCACTCCCATATCCCGGTTTTCCCGGTCCCCACTCACGCCTGGAAGGACTCCTGGTTTTCCCACTCCCGTATCCCGGTTTTCCCGGTCCCCACTCACGCCTGGAAGGACTCCTGGTTTTCCCACTCCCACATCCCGGTTTTCCCGGTCCCCACTCACGCCTGGAAGGACTCCCTCTCAAGCAGGGCCTCGTTGAGCAGCCTGTGCAGCTCCTGCTCGTTCTGCGCCGCGTCCATCACGCGCTCCGCCAGGTCCCGCAGGCGCAGCCGCCGCCGAGGGTTGGGGAACGACGGGTTCTCCGCCTGCAACGGGGGCACGGACACACGTGGGACCAGGGCACGGACACGCGTGGCACCAGGGCACGGACACGCGTGGCACCGGGGCACGAACATGCGTGTAAGCGGGGCACGGACTGGCATGTCACCGGGGCAGGGACAGGCGTGTCACCGGCACTGTGGGGTGGGGAATGACGGGTTCTCCACCTGTGACATGGGGCATGGACACGCGGGTCACCGGGGCATGGACAGGTGTGTCACTGGCACCATGACACGGACACGCGTGTCACCAGCACAGTCACTCACACCGGGGGGCACAGACACGTGTGTCACTGGCACCAGGGCACGGACACGTGTGTCACTGGCACCAGGGGGAATGGCCACACGGGTCACTGGCACAGGGGGGCACAGACACGCGTGTCACCAGCACCGCGGGCACAGCACTGCGTCAGCGGCACCACGGGGCATGGCCACCCCGGGGCACGGCCACCTGTGTCACCACCATCCACGTCACAGCCACCCCGTGTCACTGCCATCCACGGCACGGCCACCCCCAGGCACGACCACTCGTGTCACCACCATCCATGTCACGGCCACCCCTTGTCACATCCACCTGTGTCACACCCACTCGTGTCACACCCACCCGTGTCACCACCATCCACGTCACGGCCACCCCATGTCACCGCCATCCCATTCATGGCCACCCTGTGTCACACCCACCCGTGTCACCACCACCCCAGCACGGAATTCCCGCTGGGAACGCGAGTTCCCTTTGGGGATGTCACCTCAATGTCATCGTCGTCGTTGTCGTTGCCGTCGTGGCGGTCGGGGCTGATGCTGAGGCGGCCGTTGCGCTCCTTGGTGGTGACCACGGGTGGGGTGGTGACTGTGGGTGGGGGGGTGACACCGGGCGGGGGGGTGACACCGCTGCCCTCCTTGGTGGTGGCCTCGGGTGGGGGGGTGACATCGGCACCGGGGGTGGAGCTGAGCGACAGCTTCTGTGGGGATGGGGGGGACAGGGCGGGGTCACTGGGTGTCCCCATCCCGTGGTGTCCCCCCATCCCGTGGTGTCCCCCCATGCCCGTGGTGTCCCCTCATCCCCACTGTGGTGTCCCCTCATCCCGAGTGTCCCCTCATCCCCTGAGTGTTCCCCCATCCCCACTGTGGTGTCCCCCCATGCGCGTGGTGTCCCCCCATCCCCATGGTGTCCCCTCATCCCGTGGTGTCCCCCCATCCCCTGGCTGTCACCCCATACCCTGGCTGTCCCCACCTCCCCTGGGTGTCCCCACATCCCCTGGGTGTCCCCATCCCCACTGTGGTGTCCCCACATCCTGTGGTGTCCCCCATGCCCTGGCTGTCCCCCTGTCCCCTGGCTGTCCCCATCCCCTCACTCACGACGCCGTTGATGCCTCGGCGCAGGGGCTGCCTGGGCACCACCACCAGGTAGGTGACGATGCTGTGGTGTGTCCCCCTGTCCCCATGGTGTCCCCCTGTCCCATGGCTGTCCCCCCATGCCCGTGGTGTCCCCCCATGCCCATGGTGTCCCCCCATGCCCTGGCTGTCCCCATGCCCACACTCACGACGCCGTTGATGCCTCGGCGCAGGGGCTGCCGGGGCACCACCACCAGGTAGGTGACGATGCCGTGGTGTGTCCCCCTGTCCCCATGGTGTCCCCCCATCCCCGTGGCGTCCCCGTCCCCACACTCACGACGCCGTTGATGCCTCGGCGCAGGGGCTGCCGCGGCACCACCACCAGGTAGGTGACGATGCCCCTCTCACGCAGGTACTCGCAGCGGGACCCCCCTTCCCCCGGCTCCACCTCGAACTCGCCCCGCAGGCAGTCCAGGGTGCTCTGGGAGATGTGCACCCGCCTGGGGGGGGACACAGACACCAGAAATCGGGGGGGGGGGGACTGGGGGGGAGGTCGTTTAATCCATCGGGTAACTCGTTATTGGGTGGAGATCAATCTGATCGGTTAATTAGTTAGTGGAGTGGAGATCAACCTGATCCATTCATTCATTACTGGGGTGGAGATCAACCTGATTGGTTAATTCATTATTGGGTGGAGATCAACCTGATTGGGTAATTAATTATTGGGTGGAGATCACACAATCAGTTAATTCATTATTGGGTCGAGATCAACCTGATTGGGTAATTAATTATTGGGTGGAGATCACACAATCAGTTAATTCATTATTGGGTCGAGATCAGCCTGATCGATTAATTCATTATTGGGTGGAGATCAATCTGAACAGTTAATTCATCATTAGATGGAGATCAACCTGATTGATTAATTCATTACTAGGGTGGAGATCAACCTGATTAATTCATTACTAGGGTGGAGATCAACCTGAACAGTTAATTCATCATTAGGTGGAGATCAATCTGATGGGTTAATTCATTATTGGTGGAGGTCAACCCAATCAGTTAATTATTTATTGGGTGACAATCACCCTGATCAGTTAATTCATTATTGGGGTAGAGATCACCCCGATTGGTTAATTCATCATTGAGGTGGAGATCACCCCGATCAGGTAATTATTTATGGGTGGAGATCGATCTGATTGTTTAATTATTTATTGAGTGGAGATCACCCTGATGGGTTAATTCATTACTAGGGTAGAGATCAACCTGATCCATTAATTCATTATTGGGGTGGAGGTCAACCAATCAGTTAATTCATTATTGGGGTGGAGGTCAACCAATCAGTTAATTCATTATTGGGGTGGAGATCAACCTGATCAATTAATTCATTATTGGGTTGGAGATCAACCTGATCAGTTAATTAGTTATTTGAGTGGAGAGCACACAATCAGTTCATTCATTATTGGGGTGGAGATCACTCTGATCAATTAATTCATTATTGGGGTGGAGATCACCCTGATTAGTTAATTACTGTGCTGGATCACCCAGATTGTTTGATTGATTATTGGGTTGGATCAACCAGATAGTTTAATTATTGTGCCGGATCAACCTGATTGTTTAATTAGTTATTGTGGTGGAGATCTCCCGGATCATTTAATTATTGTGGTGTGCAATCAACCAGATCATTTAATTAGTTATTGTGTTGGATCAACCTAATCATTTAATTATTGTGCTGGATCAACCTGATTGCTTAATTAATTATGGAACTGGATCACCCAGATCGGTTAATTAATTATTGTGGTAGAGATCACCCCGATTGTTTAGTTATTGTGCTGGATTAACCTGATTGTTTAATTAATTATTGTGTTGGAGGTCAACCAGATTGTTTAATTATTGGGCTGGAGATCAATCTAATTAATTATTGAGTTGGATCACCCGGATTGTTTAATTAATTATTGTTCTGGAGATCAACTAGACTGCTTAATTATTTTGCTTGATTATATATAATAATATAAAACCACAATGTAATAATAGATATTATGATAGATATAATTTTATAAACAATTATATAATTATGTAATTACATAATTTCAATATATAATTGCTTATAGAATTCTATAGAATCAATTAGAACTCTTTTTAATTCTATTACATAATATAAAAATATACATTATATTATATTATATTACATTGTTTTAATTCGATATATTATATATATAGAAATGTAATTATAAGACATTTATTTCATTTACTGTTTATAGAATATATGCAGTATACATTGTATATTATTATTGCATTATATAGTATATTATAATAGTATTACGTTATTTTAAACTTTTAATTATCTATATTATATATAGAAATATAATTTTTATAACTCATTATATTTGCTTTTTATAGATTATATA